AATGAGTAACAATTAAATGTGTAACAAATAGTAATGAGAAAGAAGAGAGAAAAAAATTAAACTTGAAAATGATAAAGATAGAAACATACTCTCCCTCCTTGAAATGCCATCCAGACAAATTTGCTGCTTCCGTAAGAGCTCTCCTCCATTTGAGCACTTTCTCCTCGTTATCTTTGAATTTGCTTTCAATATGGCCTTCAAATGCGCCACCAAATTTACTTGTTTGTTTTCGCACATCTGAGGGATTTACCTTGTAAAAAATGGGCAAAACTATTTGTTGGTTTGATTGTTTACATTGAAGGATCTTGACAAGTTCATCCAAGCACCACCTCGAAGATGCATAGTTTTCAGAGAATACAATGAGAGAAATTCTTGATTCTTCAATTGCTTTGACAAGAGCTGACGATATTTCTTCTCCTTTTACAAGCTCTCGATCAATGAAGGTGTGGATCTTTTTATCAGACAAAGCCTTGTACAAATGATCTGTAAAATTGGTGCGTGTATCCTCACCTCTAAAACTCAAAAACACTTGATATGAAAAAGAAGAGACTGGTTGAGTTGTCTCAGGGAGGGGCTGATCTAAAGGATGTTGAGGATATCTCTCAAAATCAATTGGGAATTGGGGAGTAAACCATCCATCCATAGACCTGAATAACGATTTCAATTTGAACATTGAAGAATTGAAGAAGAAGCAGAGAGAATCTTATCTGATTTTGTATTGATTTTCTTTCTTAATAAAACGATACAAATAGCTTAAGGCTTAAACAAACTCGGGCGTGAGGAACGCGGGCGTGAGGAACTTTCTTTTCAACTTGAATTCATCAAACGCTGAATTTTCTTTAATTTACTGACGTGGTCTTTAATTTACTGAAGCATATATAGTTGCAACTTACTGTTTCATTTCATTGTATGAAGAACTTTCGGTGCAAGTGCAACTACAAAGTGGTCAAACTCAAACGGGGATATTTCTTTTGTCACCACGCGCTTTCTTTGAAATGATGGTCTTTTCGCTGCAAGTGCAACTACAAAGTGGTATTTGGTTATAGACTAGTCAGCCGAAGCAGTTTCTTTGTAATGCGATGGTACCTACAACGTGTTGAAGTGAAGGGTAAGGAACCTTCAAGGCAACTTCTCGTCTTTTTTCTAGATGAGCTTTTTTTTCACGAAAATTCTGTGGTGCATCGGCTGTACCGGTACAGCCGATCATCCAAGGGCTCATATTTCATTTTAAAAATTAAGGGCTGAGATTGAATGACCTGATGACTTGTTTAGCCATTTTTATTAAGCAGCACGTGAAATACACGTGACTTAGAAAACATAGAATAACCCCTCGCATGCACTGGAGCTGCTTCATCTCATCTCTGCGATCTCTCCCTCGGAAATCCAAGCTTCATCTGTGTCCCCAGATCGGAATTTGGGCGTCTCATCTTTGCCCAAGCCAAAATGCAACAGCCATCGGAGAGGAGATAGAGAGACAGCGGTGCTTCGAAGGCAAAAAAGGTGTCAGTTCAGAAGACTAGGCCGAAGCTGACCTCGCCTACGTCCTCCGCCACTTCACTCGCGCTTTCAAGTACCGTGGCCTCGGAAACGAGGTCTCATATTCAATTCCACTCTTGTTTCCTTTCTTTTGTGGAAAAAAATTGATCATATTATGCTAAATTGTTTTTTGCAGTTTTTGGAGGTTAGAGATTTGGGGAACTTAATTGGGTTGTACACCGAATGGCACTCACGTTTGCTCCCATATTATTCTTTTGATCAGTTTGTTCATGAGATGAGGTCAAACAGGTTGCCGCCACTAGACAAGTAAAAGTACTGATCTCTCTATATCTCGTTGAGAGTATTTCTTGTTGTTTATTATCACCATATAATTTCTGGTTATTTTTTCATATGTTTGTTACATTAATGAAAGAATGTTATGCTGTTCAACATTGGCAGAGAAGAACTGAAAACATTTTTCAGTGACGTTGTGCGTTTTGGAAATCATTCTAAAGATCAGATGTGGCACAATTTGGACCTCTATTTTAAGAAGTAATACTAATGAATCTTGTGACTCTATTTTCTTGGTCATTTACAATATTTAAATTGAGATTCTTATGTGTTCCATCTGCAATTTTGTATTATATTAGGATTGGTTCAAAAGTTACACAGCAGAAGCATTTCAAAAGGCAAGCACAGGCAGATATGGAACAATTGATGACTTTAGTTCAGTCAAAAGCAGTGAGTATTTACATGTAACTGTTGTATAGAAAATGCTGATCTCTTAGTTACAGCAGTATCTGTTAATGGTTTAGCTGTGAAAATCCTATATCTGTTTATCACATTACTGTTGTATCAGTAACAATATCAAAACACAAATTCCTTTTCTCACCCTGCAGAAGATCTATATGTATGCACAGTACATCTTTTCTTTGGTTACATGAATTTTCTACTTAACATTGTACTTCTTTTGCAAGGAATTGGATGGAGAATGCATTCATTATCTCCTTTTCGCACTTCACGGCTTTCCCTGAATTAATGGCAGATATGTATTGTCCTTTAGAACTTAACTGAAGAGAAGAAAAATTTGTTTCCTGGTTTCAGGAATTATGACATGAGTTGCATTTGTTGGACAGACTGGATCAAGATTATTGGCATAGGCTTAAAGAAGATGGTTCAAATGCTGCCAGAAGAGGTAACCTACAGCTTGGTCTTTGACAAATTTCATTTGATTCTGATATTATGGCCTTGTAGTAAAAAAAAAAGAAAATTTGCTTTTAATTTGTGATGGATAGCTTTAGAGAGCTTCAAGTTCATGCAACAGATTTTTAAGTTTTGAGCTGGCATTATTTTTTTGCTATAATTTTACTTGTTTATTTTGTTTGTATCTTTCTTTCTGGCTGGACCTGGACAGTAAGGCACCATTTAACCTCTAATTTCTGTTTTTGTTTGAGTTCAGAACATGAGCTTTCCTAATTTTAAGAGCAAACTCCTCCCTAGTTCTGAATTATGCATCCATATTCACGAGGGTTGCTATTGTATCTTTGTTGCTATAAGGACAATCAGAACTTTGCATAATATTGTCTAAATAACTTCTTGACATGTAGGAGACAGCCTTGCAATTTTAAGAGCAGATGTAAAGATGCAAGTGAAGTTTGTAAGCAGTTTAAAGAAAAAATCACTCTGGTCAAAGACTTTTGAAGAGGTAGAAGTCAGTTTGCTTTATTTAGCTCTTTTTTAGGTGCATACAGGAAGGAATTATGTACAATTTAATGCTTAGGAGTATTGATGATCAACCTTGATGGCTTTCTTGTCTACAGAAGCAGTATTGTGTGAAGTATTATTCCAGAAACCCTATCTAAAATCTTGTGTTTACAGGTTGTCCAGAAGCTTGTAGATATTGTACACTTTCTACATTTGGAGATCCATGAAGCTTTTGGCAGTGCTGGTATGCATTCGAAATATTTGATGAAATTTCTATTTATGGCCACTATCTGCCCAGCCTCGTTTATCCTTCATCTCTTTATTACTGTCATTGTTGTTATAATGGCTTGGTCAAACCAAAAAATAAGAAAAACAGAAAAGAAAAGAGGTTATAATGACATTCTGTCCACCATTGATCATCTTGAAGCATTTCATAGGATAACAAACTGTTTTTCTTCTGAAAGAAAATTATTGATTAGCGTCTTCTATTTTCCATTTCCATTTGATAACATACTGTTTTTCTTCTGAAAGAAAATTATTGATTAGCATCTCCTATTTTCCATTTCCATTTTGATTTACAATTCTGATTATTCATCTCTCCTACCTCTCTTTCTGGCTTAAATATAAAGTGTTTAAGCACAAGTTGCTCACGAGTTTAATAAAGTTTTTTATGTCTCCCCATCTCCCTTGCAGATGATGAACCTGTGGAAAGTTCTCGGAGGAACCACAAGAAGTTGGGGCCTTCTGGTATTTCATTACAATATGCGAGTATTATTACACAAATTAACACACTAGTAAGTTTCATTCACTACTTAACCTTGTTATGATGATTTTCACTGCTCATGTTTTATAACTCATATCATTTGTACAATATCTTGCTTCTTTATCAAGTTTTATACTTGACCAGGCTGAGAATCTAGTCTTACACACCAGTTCAGTTTCTTCATGGCCTATACTGTCAGTCTACTTATAATGCCTGAAGTATTTTTTTATAAAATTACCCAGAAATTTCATAGAATTACCTTGTAGCCTTGGGACAATGATAAACCTAGACACCTTTTTGTGCTTATGATATATACATACACAAATGCGAGCAAAGTGCTTCTTAAATGGGATTCTGCACTGCAGGATCCCATGACATTCAAACTGCAGGTTTGTTTTTCTTGTCGCCACATTCAACAATGAACCTTAAGCCCTTTTATTTCATGAGAAACAAGTTTCATAAATAATAATCATCATGAAACATGATACAAATATTCGGTCAACAAGAGGTCCAACAACATTTTGATACAAATCTTTAAACCTTGAGCCGTAAACCCTTCTCTACACCTAAAAGTAGTAAAACCATGTCCTACTTGAAAATAAAACTTAAAAGAAATAACAGGACATTCAAATGGCATGGGATCTTCCAATGCGACATCTCGCACCTGAAGCTTGCTTTTATGTTTATCGGGGGACACACATTTTTACACAAATTATGACACATTTTTGTCCATTAGATTAAAATTCATTGAATGGCTGAGATTAAAACTCAAATATTAAATTGATTGTTGGATGAGGTTGGTAATGGTTCTTGTTGACCATTATTATTCAACGAGAAATCTGGACTTAGCACATGTGCAATGTAGGTATATTAGATTTCTTTATTTTACATTACTTTTTACAAGAGTGCAAGGTCTCATTAGGATTATATCTGGGATCTTAGAAGATTTTCAAAGTACTGGTGAAAATTATTTTTTTATTTTTTCAATCCAGATTTTGTTTTTCTATCCAGTGTGAAAGGTAGAACAGATCAGGGTAGGCTCAATCTCGAATCTTGTAGGTCATTGGTCTTGTGCTAATATCTGAATGTAACCAGGTGTCTCTGTCACGATCGAGTTCAGTGCCTCCTTTTCTTTATGAAATAATTTAATTAGAAGTTTTTGGGTTCTTCTTCAGAATTTGTTATAATATTTGTGTTTGATCAATGATATTTGAACTATTCGCTTTGGAAACAACCACTGCATTCTATGTTCCCATTTAAATATTGAATCCTTTTAATTTTATTGGGGTTTATATATAAGCTCGATTTGTTATTAAGTATTTGCTTGTCTTGAGTGTTTACTACTGAAAGATAACCATCAAAGGATTCTTTGAAGAATTATGAAAGGCATTTCATTAGAGAATATTGATAGAAAACCTTGTAAAGTTGACGTTTCACTGAACAATACTGATGCATTTGTTGTCCCTAGTATCTGTGTGCAATAGTTTGATGGTGCTCCTTTGCTTTGCTAATTGTAGGAACCCTCTGAGACTTTGCATGGTGATATGGTTGCTCCTAGTATATCTGCAGCAGGTAGTTTTCAGAAAGAATTAACCAATCAAGTTCCAAATAATGAAGGTAGTGAATCTAGTGAAAATCATATGACAGATGAACAGAGAGAACGAATGAAAGCTAGCAGATTTAAGGTCCTTGAGAAAGATGTAGCTAGGCGCCGCCAATTGCAGGTGGCTTGAGGTTCTGTTTTTCTTCTGTCGTGTTCTAAATTATGTTTCATTGTGTTGAGCTGTGGATGGCAATTGAACTCATGGATATAGGCATCAAGGCAGAACCTTCTGTCTTGATATTCTTTCTTTGTACAACAAAGTTTTTTTGTCATATTTACACAACTCGATCTCTTTAATAGTTGATCCATTACCAATAGTTACATGTGGGTTCTTAATTTGATGTAACAGTTTATTTGCAATTGCATACCCGAATATGTAATTGCATACATTTTATGCAATAATTGATCCCCCTAAAACCAAAAGAAGGGTTGAATGCAATTTCATACAATAAACTAAGAATTGCACATAGAGGTTACGAAATTGCATATTGTAAACTGAGAATTGCACACATGCCCTATCAAATTGTGTAGGTATATGCAATTGCATGACACTACGAAAAATAACTACGGCTGCAAGTTCAACAATGTTCTAGGCTTTCATTCATGCTACAAAAGATGTAATAGGCGTATATGCCCACAAAAACCATTAAACATGGCTAAATTGTTGATTTACCCCTTGAATTTGTACTCATTTTTCAATTTATCCCATAACCTTTTTTTTATAGAAAATTAAGGGTATGAATTTTTCTTTTTCGTCAATATCCCCTTGTCGTCTAATCCTAACATTTCATCCAATTTGCCATTAAATATGAGGGCAAATTGGTTATTTCATAAGTTAAAAATAATTAAATAATTAAAACAAAATAATATGAAAAGATGTAAATATATGCCCTAAAGCCAAACATGTGATGTTAATTTCTGGATATTTCACCATCATTTATGGGCAAAATCGTTGTTTTCAACTATAATATATAGTCTATAATTATAACAGTAAAATAACAAGTCCTTGAAACATGATTAGTATGAGGGCTATTAAATGAGATTGGATATAAGAAGACCTCTCATATTTTCACATAATGGTTGATGTTTGTATATCCGAGATGGAGATCAGTGACCTCACGATGAAGCTCAGTGTCTTGGGTTGCCATTACCATTTCGAAGCTTTTATTGGCAAATCTGTAAGTGTATGGTTCAAATGAGATGTTCATGATTGGTATTGGTTGCTGTGATTGCCGTAACTGCTATATATTGGTTGCTTTGGCTAAGGATTCAGGAAAAGTGCAGTTAAGAAAAGTGTATTTTTGTTACACTGAAATATGTGTTTTAAGATACCATCAAAGTTTTTAAATAATCTCTCTCTACCTCCCTCTCATTTGTAGGAAGGTGTATGCTCACTTGGAATTTTCATGCATACTTGGTGAGATTCTCACCTTCTTCTGAGAGTCTAATATTTAGGGGCTAGCATTTGTGTACTCTACAAGTTATAAATTGAGCTAAACGTATTACAAAATATTTTAGGTGAAGTGTTTTCTTTGTTTCTGTTTCTTTTTTGAGATCTTATTTCTTATTTATGTGACATGTAGTCTTGGTTAGAGAAAATAGAAGATATCACATTTAATTTTCTATAGCTTTTAGGTAGTAGTAGATTATCCATATTGTCATGCAAATGAGCACACACAAAAAAGAGGCCCTCTAACCAAAAAGAGGAAATTTGGTGATATTTGCATACATTATAAGAGTGTGAGCCAATGAGCCTTTTAGTAAAAACGAAAAAAGTTAAAAACCAAAAGAAGGGCGGAATGCAATTGCATATTGTAAACTAAAAATTGCAAACAGACGTTACGAAATTGTATACAAATATATGCAATTGCATATTGTAAAATGAGAATTGCACATAGAAGCTACGAAATTGCATACAGGTATATACATATGCATATTGTAAACTAAGAATTGCACACATGTGCTATCAAATATGTCATATATATGCCCACAAAAACCATTAAACATGGCTAAATTGTTGATTTAGTCCTTGAACTTGTACGCAATTTAAAATTTATCTCATGACTTTTTTATTTATTTATAAAATTAAGGATATGAATTTGTCTTTATCGCCAATGTCTCCCCTACCGTTTAATTCCCTAACATTTCATCCAATATGTCATTAAATATGAGGACAAATTAGTCATTTCATACGTTAAAAATAATTGAATTATGTAAAATAAAATAATATGAAAGGATGTTAAATATATGCCATAAAGCCAAACATGTGATGTTGCTTTCTTTTCTGGATATTTCACCATCATTTATGGGCAAAATCGTTGTTTTCAACTATGATATTTAGTATACAATCATAATAGCACAACAATCCTTGGAATATGATTCGTATGAGGGCTATGCAATGAGATTGAATATAAGAAGACTTCTCATACTTCCACTTCATTTCCTAAACATTCATGTTTATATGATTATCAATTGGGCATTGATCATAATTGAAAAAGTACAATTTTCTTTTTCGTCAATTCAATGTAGCTCAATCAATCGACCATTAAGTAATAATTTTTGTTGAGAGTTTTTAAATTTATATTTGTATCAACAATCATATGTTTGATATTATTGATTTTTTTTAATTAACAATATAGTAATAATTGGAGATAATCAACAAAGTTCAATTTTATTCTCAATAGTTCATTGGGTTAAATTAGTAGTAAATCACGAAAGTTATATTGAGTAATTTATGACAACAAACCACCTAACAAACGCTAAGCGACTTGTTCGTCGGGTAACTGATGTTGTCCGTTGACCAAATTACCTAACGAACTCCATGATTTACTCAACAAATAAGGTATTTTACTCCGAGGACGCAAGGGGTGTATTCGTTGAGTAAAGTTCGTCGTTCCCCGAGAAATTGGACCAACTAAAATACTTTATCAAACAAACGCACTATTTTTTCACTCGAACGTAGGGGGATGTGTTGTGTAGATACAGCTGCACCAAAATGGATTCAGTTGCATCCTCAACTTGTGATACTCGCAAGTGCACGAGCCGTTCGGTAGTCAAGTTTTATACTTGACCAGGCTGAGAATCTAGTCTTACACACCAGTTCAGTTTCTTCATGGCCTATACTGTCAGTCTACTTATAATGCCTGAAGTATTTTTTTATAAAATTACCCAGAAATTTCATAGAATTACCTTGTAGCCTTGGGACAATGATAAACCTAGACACCTTTTTGTGCTTATGATATATACATACACAAATGCGAGCAAAGTGCTTCTTAAATGGGATTCTGCACTGCAGGATCCCATGACATTCAAACTGCAGGTTTGTTTTTCTTGTCGCCACATTCAACATTGAACCTTAAGCCCTTTTATTTCATGAGAAACAAGTTTCATAAATAATAATCATCATGAAACATGATACAAATATTCAGTCAACAAGAGGTCCAACAACATTTTGATACAAATCTTTAAACCTTGAGCCGTAAACCCTTCTCTACACCTAAAAGTAGTAAAACCATGTCCTACTTGAAAATAAAACTTAAAAGAAATAACAGGACATTCAAATGGCATGGGATCTTCCAATGCGACATCTCGCACCTGAAGCTTGCTTTTATGTTTATCGGGGGACACACATTTTTACACAAATTATGACACATTTTTGTCCATTAGATTAAAATTCATTGAATGGCTGAGATTAAAACTCAAATATTAAATTGATTGTTGGATGAGGTTGGTAATGGTTCTTGTTGACCATTATTATTCAACGAGAAATCTGGACTTAGCACATGTGCAATGTAGGTATATTAGATTTCTTTATTTTACATTACTTTTTACAAGAGTGCAAGGTCTCATTAGGATTATATCTGGGATCTTAGAAGATTTTCAAAGTACTGGTGAAAATTATTTTTTTATTTTTTCAATCCAGATTTTGTTTTTCTATCCAGTGTGAAAGGTAGAACAGATCAGGGTAGGCTCAATCTCGAATCTTGTAGGTCATTGGTCTTGTGCTAATATCTGAATGTAACCAGGTGTCTCTGTCACGATCGAGTTCAGTGCCTCCTTTTCTTTATGAAATAATTTAATTAGAAGTTTTTGGGTTCTTCTTCAGAATTTGTTATAATATTTGTGTTTGATCAATGATATTTGAACTATTCGCTTTGGAAACAACCACTGCATTCTATGTTCCCATTTAAATATTGAATCCTTTTAATTTTATTGGGGTTTATATATAAGCTCGATTTGTTATTAAGTATTTGCTTGTCTTGAGTGTTTACTACTGAAAGATAACCATCAAAGGATTCTTTGAAGAATTATGAAAGGCATTTCATTAGAGAATATTGATAGAAAACCTTGTAAAGTTGACGTTTCACTAAACAATACTGATGCATTTGTTGTCCCTAGTATCTGTGTGCAATAGTTTGATGGTGCTCCTTTGCTTTGCTAATTGTAGGAACCCTCGGAGACTTTGCATGGTGATATGGTTGCTCCTAGTATATCTGCAGCAGGTAGTTTTCAGAAAAAGTTAACCAATCAAGTTCCAAATAATGAAGGTAGTGAATCTAGTGAAAATTATATGACAGATGAACAGAGAGAACGAATGAAAGCTAGCAGATTTAAGGTCCTTGAGAAAGATGCAGCTAGGCGCCGCCAATTGCAGGTGGCTTGAGGTTCTGTTTTTCTTCTGTCGTGTTCTAAATTATGTTTCATTGTGTTGAGCTGTGGATGGCAATTGAACTCATGGATATAGGCATCAAGGCAGAACCTTCTGTCTTGATATTCTTTCTTTGTACAACAAAGTTTTTTTGTCATATTTACACAACTCGATCTCTTTAATAGTTGATCCATTACCAATAGTTACATGTGGGTTCTTAATTTGATGTAACAGTTTATTTGCAATTGCATACCCGAATATGTAATTGCATACATTTTATGCAATAATTGATCCCCCTAAAACCAAAAGAAGGGTTGAATGCAATTTCATACAATAAACTAAGAATTGCACATAGAGGTTACGAAATTGCATATTGTAAACTGAGAATTGCACACATGCCCTATCAAATTGTGTAGGTATATGCAATTGCATGACACTACGAAAAATAACTACGGCTGCAAGTTCAACAATGTTCTAGGCTTTCATTCATGCTACAAAAGATGTAATAGGCGTATATGCCCACAAAAACCATTAAACATGGCTAAATTGTTGATTTACCCCTTGAATTTGTACTCATTTTTCAATTTATCCCATAACCTTTTTTTATAGAAAATTAAGGGTATGAATTTTTCTTTTTCGTCAATATCCCCTTGTCGTCTAATCCTAACATTTCATCCAATTTGCCATTAAATATGAGGGCAAATTGGTTATTTCATAAGTTAAAAATAATTAAATAATTAAAACAAAATAATATGAAAAGATGTAAATATATGCCCTAAAGCCAAACATGTGATGTTAATTTCTGGATATTTCACCATCATTTATGGGCAAAATCGTTGTTTTCAACTATAATATATAGTCTATAATTATAACAGTAAAATAACAAGTCCTTGAAACATGATTAGTATGAGGGCTATTAAATGAGATTGGATATAAGAAGACCTCTCATATTTTCACATAATGGTTGATGTTTGTATATCCGAGATGGAGATCAGTGACCTCACGATGAAGCTCAGTGTCTTGGGTTGCCATTACCATTTCGAAGCTTTTATTGGCAAATCTGTAAGTGTATGGTTCAAATGGGATGTTCATGATTGGTATTGGTTGCTGTGATTGCCGTAACTGCTATATATTGGTTGCTTTGGCTAAGGATTCAGGAAAAGTGCAGTTAAGAAAAGTGTATTTTTGTTACACTGAAATATGTGTTTTAAGATACCATCAAAGTTTTTAAATAATCTCTCTCTACCTCCCTCTCATTTGTAGGAAGGTGTATGCTCACTTGGAATTTTCATGCATACTTGGTGAGATTCTCACCTTCTTCTGAGAGTCTAATATTTAGGGGCTAACATTTGTGTACTCTACAAGTTATAAATTGAGTTAAACGTATTACAAAATTTTTTAGGTGAAGTGTTTTCTTTGTTTCTGTTTCTTTTTTGAGATCTTATTTCTTATTTATGTGACATGTAGTCTTGGTTAGAGAAAATAGAAGATATCACATTTAATTTTCTATAGCTTTTAGGTAGTAGTAGATTATCCATATTGTCATGCAAATGAGCACACACAAAAAAGAGGCCCTCTAACCAAAAAGAGGAAATTTGGTGATATTTGCATACATTATAAGAGTGTGAGCCAATGAGCCTTTTAGTAAAAACGAAAAAAGTTAAAAACCAAAAGAAGGGCGGAATGCAATTGCATATTGTAAACTACAAATTGCAAACAGACGTTACGAAATTGCATACATATATATATGCAATTGCATATTGTAAAATGAGAATTGCACATAGAAGCTACGAAATTGCATACAGATATATACATATGCATATTGTAAATTGAGAATTGAACACATGTGCTATCAAATATGCGATATATGCCCACAAAAACCATTAAACATGGCTAAATTGTTGATTTAGTCCTTGAACTTGTACCCAATTTAAAATTTATCTCATGACTTTTTTATTTATTTATAAAATTAAGGATATGAATTTGTCTTTATCGCCAATGTCTCCCCTACCGTTTAATTCCCTAACATTTCATCCAATATGTCATTAAATATGAGGACAAATTAGTCATTTCATACGTTAAAAATAATTGAATTATGTAAAATAAAATAATATGAAATGATGTTAAATATATGCCATAAACAGATGACTAGTCATCATTTTATGAAATCAATTTAATGCAATGTGATGCAATGCACAATTTACCGTTGTCAATTTGCTTGAACCTCCATAGGATAGTTGTCAGTTAAGAACACCTAGAGAAGCTATTCTTAATCTAAACTTGAGTTTGATAAAAACAATAAAAATCCTATTACAAAATTATCAAGGGAAGCCAAAAGAAATATTCAAATGCATACATTAACACTATTTGTTCACGCGAACGCAAAGGGTTGCGTTCGTTGAGTAAAGTCGCCTGTACCTCGGAAAAACTAACTTACTTTTTTAAACAAACAGGCTACTTGTTCCACGATTGCAAGGGGTTGCATTCGTTGAGTAAAGTTGCCCGTTTCCCGGAAAAATGGACCCAACTAAATTACTTTTTCAAACAAACAGGCTATTTGTTCACGCGAACGCAGGAGTTGCGTTTGTTGAGTAAAGTTGTCCATTCCCCGGAAAAATGAACTCAACTGACTTACTTTTTCAAACAAATTGGCTATTTGTTCACACGAACGCAGGGGGTTGCGTTCATTGAGTAAAGTTGCCCGTTCCCTGGAAAAATGGACCCAAACTTACTTTTTCAAACAAACGGGCCTATTTGTTCATGCGAACGCAGAGGTTGCATTCGTTGAGTAAAGTTGGCCGTTCCATGGAAAAATGGGCTCAACTAACTTACTTTTTCAAACAAATGGGCTATTTATTTTGCGATTGCAAGGGGTTGCGTTCGTTGAGTAAAGTTGCCTATTCCCCGGAAAAATGGGCTCCACTAACTTACTTTTTTAAACAAACATGCTATTTGTTCCACGATTGCAAGGGGTTGCGTTCGTTGAGTAAAGTTGTCCATTCCTCGGAAAAATAGACCCAACTAAATTACTTTTTCAAACAAACAGGCTATTTGTTCACGGGAACGCAGGAGTTGCGTTTGTTGAGTAAAGTTGCCCGTTCCTCAGAAAAATGGACTCAACTGACTTACTTTTTCAAACAAACGGAGGGGGTTGTGTTCATTGAGTAAAGTTGCCCGTTCCCTGGAAAAATGAACCCAAACTTACTTTTTCAAACAAACGGCCTATTTGTTCATGCGAACGCAGAGGTTGCATTCGTTGAGTAAAGTTAGCCGTTCCATGAAAAAATGGGCTCAACTAACTTACTTTTTCAAACAAACGGGCTATTTGTTCTGCGATTGCAAGGGGTTGCGTTCGTTGAGTAAAGTTGCCCGTTCCCCAGAAAAATGGGCTCAACTAACTTACTTTTTTAAACAAACGGGCTATTTGTTCCACGATTGCAAGGGGTTGCGTTCGTTGAGTAAAGTTGCCCGTTCCCCAGAAAAATGGACCAAACTAAATTACTTTTTCAAACAAACGGGCTATTTGTTCACGCGAACGCAGGGGTTGCGTTTGTTGAGTAAAGTTGCCTGTTCCCCGGAAAAATGGACTCAACTGAATTACTTTTTCAAACAAATGGGCTATTTGTTCACATCAACGCAGGGTGTTGCGTTCGTTGAGTAAAGTTGCCCGTTCCCTGGAAAAATGGACCCAACTAACTTATTTTTCAAACAAA